TGGTCGACTTCAAAGTACTTAGATAGTATCAGTGTTCTTTAATAAGTCATCATTTAAATCAAAGCTCCTTGAATTCATGTATATGGCAGTTTTGTATAACCATATACATCAACCAACCAGACACCGCGGTTCAAACAAGCCATCACTCCTGTACTTAATCCTGACTGATGAAGAGTTTATGGTTGGGTCAGTACCTGACGATGCTCCACTGGGTGGCAGCGACCATTCAGTTCTAACATTTGGTTATGTGTGTTATGTCAGTACTGTTGCTAAAGAAAGTGGGACTTAGTGAACTATTACGGACTATTTTAAGCTGCACAACTTAGCAGCAACCGTGGACTGGGACCTACAGACGCACGGTTCAGCGAATCACTCGTGGAAGGAACTGAAAGACAAAATTAACTAGGTCACACAATCAGCATTGAAGATTGCACCATTACGAGCATCGCGCCGGACCAATACGTGGATCCGGAGCAGAACACGTAAATGGATCATCAGAAGAGATGAGATCTGGAGGCAACGTTCGCTAAGCCCATGTGATACCACATGACAGAATTACGAAGCAATCAGCAACTACTGAACGTCGCTCATTAGAGCCGCTAAGTAGAATGGCAGGAGACCGTGGTGCTGAAATTTACGAGTAACACCAAACTACGATACAGATTTATGAATGGCAAATGAAAGACTAAGCCCAGAATACCACCACTCAAGACGGCCAGTGGCCTAACAATTACTTCTGTGGATGCCGCGAACGCTCTACTCCTGCAGTTTGGCTCGGTAGCTACAAATACCATGGAACCTTCGCCTTATCAACTCCCAACAAAAGTCGTTGGCTTGTCCAGCGTCACCTTTACTCCAGCAGCTGTTGCCAGCAAATTACCGTCTCTCCGGGAGTACAACACCGCTGGAATCGACATGTTCTGCTCAGTAGTACTGAAAACCCTTTCTCCCACTATAGCAGCACCTTTTGCAGCCTTTTCCCCGGGGTCCGTTTGGTTCTCATAAGCTCCCATCTGAATGACAAAATATAGTTATCACTCCAATATACAAAGGAGGTAACCGATCGGATCCTGCCAAGTACCGACCTATTACACTCCTTCCTGTTTTATCAAAAGTGATGGAATTGGTAGTTGCAAATGAACTGACGTGCTACTTTGAAAGTTTACAAGTAATTTCTAACGCCCAATATGGTTTCAGACGCAGATGATCTTGTCTCACCACTTTGCTGCTTACTCAGGACCAGGGCGGATGATGAAAGAGTCCCGATAGATGTGACTTACTTGGATTTTTCTAAAGCATTTGAGAGGGTCAATCATTTCTTTCTACTCCAAAAGCTTTCTACCTACGGTATCAACGGTCCCTTGCTCACTTAGCTAGAATACTATTTACACGATAGAATAATCAAGGTAAGAGTAGCCGACACTCACTCTGGAAGCCTGCGTGTCTCCAGTGGTGTAAGGCGTGGATCCGTCCTCTACCCGCTACTTAGTCTACGATTATGATCTTTCAGCAGACACTCCAACCCCCACGCAAATATTTGCAGACGATGCTGAAATGTGGAGAGTAATTCGCTCCCTATCCGACTGTGTCTACAGGATGATCTGGCTCGGATTAGCGAATGCGCACAAGCGAACCAGCTCCCACTGAACCCTACAAAGTGCCACTTGCCGACGGCCCGCAGCAGATTCGTCAACACGTACCTTTTGGAGCAACACGTGAGTAGTGAACGCGACTTAGGTATAATCGCGCAAGAGACTCTTGGCAGTTCACTCCAATGTTCGAAAGCAGCAAGTGTGGCGAACTTGAACTTGAGACTTTTGAGGCGAACTCTCGGCACCTTTGAGCGACAGCTAGTACGATTGCTGATTAACTCCTGCATTCGCCCTCACGTTGAATATGCAGTTCAGGCCTGGTGTCCATGGTTAAAACGAGACATTCGCCCATTGGAACAACGCCAAAGAAGAGCCGCGAAGGCAACGCGTGTACTATCGGGTCTCATTTACGAACTGCGTCTTCGTGTACTCGGTGTGTTTTCCACAGAATACCGACGGCTTCGCATAGATCTTATTCTCACATACCGGACACTAACTGAAAGCGAACATCCATGTACATCCCTGTTGACCCTAGCCCCTTACAAACAAAGCCGAGGCAACCACCTGAAGCTAATGACGCAACACTCCCGTTTGAATTGCCAAACGTCTTTTTATTCACATAGAATCTGTTCTCAATGGAATACCTTGCCAATATAGGTGGTGAACGCACCAGACATGACGACATTCGAAAGACTCTTAGACTTTCTTTTTAATGATAAGCACTACACAACAGTTTGCTAAAGTACAATGGCCTAACCATTGCTAATTCACCTTCCACCTTGGAACAATTTGATTTGATTTTTCTTTTGCGTACTCATCCTGTGGGTCTTGTAAAGTTATGCTTTTTATCACATCTTACAGTAGTTAACTAATCCCTTCCAAATTGATTCGAGTTGAGGTTTCTTGCAACCATCTCAGTAATTCATGACAAAGTGCTTGCTACTCACATGTTTGATAGACGACCTCTGCATGTGTTTCACAACAATTCTGTCACTGATTCTCATTTTGCCGTATACTATGCTACGGTCATTATCTCAAATGCTCCACTCTAGCATGGATTTTATTTGTTATATTAACCACCGATTGTCTTTCACCTGCTGCTTGGTATTGGGCCAGTTCGGAGAAATTGTTAATAAATGAGTAGCTAATTCCGAGATCGCACGTAGACAGTTGCATAGGGATGTGTTCTTTTTTCAGTGCGATATATCATTCTGGAATGGAACAACCGTATAACGTAATATTTCATTTCTCAGCCGATATTTTTATCATCCACGTGTGACAAGGGAATATAAGTCATCATGAATGAGTATAAGCTTTACATGAAGTTTGTCACGTCTTAGCTTATAGACTATCTTGATGTTGTCAGCGAATACAAATGGCCGACCATATTTTCCCGATGTGGTGATATCATTAATGTAGAGCAAAATGACTGAGGGATCGAGCACGCACCCTTGAGTGACCCCGTTGTTGATTGGGTGGGGAGAAGAGCAATACTCACTTAAAATAACTACCTGGTAGCAACAACGATAGCCAACCTAGTAATAGATGCCGGATCCCAAAGGTCTCTGACTTTTGAAACAACCGTTTCTGAGGTGCCAGATCTAATGCTTGGTGTATGTCCAGAAATAGAATTATTACTGCATAGCCAGCATCGTTGGATTCTAAACTGTAGGTCAGGAAATACAATTAACGGATGGTGCATGATTGCTTCTCAAGAAAACCATGCTACGCATCGTTTATCACGCCCAAAGAATTAACAAGGTCCATCACTCCCTTTTTGGTCAGTTTTTTCCAAATAACCAAGCAATTATTGGATTGATGTATTGGCCGGTAGCTATCAATCGTTTGTTTTGGACCTCCTTTGTGCCGAAGCATGATAAATGACATTTTCAATTGATCTGGAAAGAGACTGGACTCCAGCGATAGGGTAAACTTGTTCATCAAAGGCAGTTGTATATCAGGCCCTACTATTTTAGTGGTGGTTGGTGAAATACCATCAGATCGCAGCTCAGAGGATGGTCTGGTTGACTAAATAACTTGTTAGATACGCTTGAGCAAGATTTTGACTCTGCTTAGGTGGTTTGTCACGATAAGCTCTGTGTAGTTAGGCGCGGAGTCAGCGTCGAGACTCATGGAAGTGGCAAAAAGTCACTGAATGCTTCACAGATTGCAGCTGGGTCATGAAGTAAGTGGCCCACACCGCCAACAACTTCAGTAAGCAGAGGAGAGCGGTCACTGGTTCTCTGATGCAGTATCTTGACAAGCTCCATAGTCTTGCAGCTTGTTCATATGTTCCTCATTTTTTTCGTCGTGTTTGAGTAATTGCGACGGCAATTGACAGAGATGCAGACACAGAAGTTGATCATTCAAGCAGATTGTGAACTGGACCCAGAACTCACATCAGAGCACATTGCAGGTGAATATTACAAGCAGCTCAAGTGGGGATCGGACACCAAAAAAGTTGCAACTTCAAATGCTACATGTGAACTCCGGATCCACCCCACATCTAGTGGAAGCCACAATGTGAACCAAAACGTGCCGAAGCAATAGCACCCCATTGCGATTATTGCCGCATTCCGCAGGGATAAGAGCGCACCAAGAGGCCCTTTGTCACTGGACAGAGAAATTGCCTGCGAACTGAAATGCAAGGGTCTGCAACTCTACAACTGTTCAGATACGTAAACCAACAGTCCCCAAAACAGTGGCCATTGAGCACCTGCGAGAGAGGTATACAGCAGTTTTTCGGAAAGGACTTACAACACCAATGGTTGACCAAGAGCTTTATCGCTTAGAGAGAACAGTTCTCTACCCGGTGAACCACTCATTTTGGGACCCAGAAGGGGCCTGATATGCTTTGACCAGTGGCCACAAAAAGGAGCGAACTTCCAGCCACGATGATACACTGAGCGGGTGTGGAGACACGTCATCATAATGCACTTGGACCCATGACGGAACTGGCGCGTCATTTTGCGCGAGGGAGATGTTACAGAGATCGAGCGCACAAGCCGAGAAGCGTGATGCAAGAGTGCATCGATCTGCAATTGGAGATCAAACTCGAGTAAAGATCAAAATGCGAATCTATGTGGAATCAACGGCAAGTCGGACCATTAACTTGAACCGTTTGATTTGTGTTAATTATTATTAATTAGCGTCTCCAATTTTGTTGTGTTAGTGCTTTCCTTCAACCTATTTATTGCGCTATGCTCTCAAGCAATAGAATCAGAATCGGAATCCCTCGATCCGGTTGGTCTTGGCGTTCTCAGTTCGTTGCGGGATTGAACTGGTTTGGGGCGGCACAGCAGGTTATCTGTACTGTCTGCGGAAACCGCAACAGTGACTGCGAAGGACTTCACCATTAAATCACCTATTTCAATTTGACCGTCTTCCGTCCAACTTTCCCAATTCTAGCCTTTGGACACTGTTAACGCCCCGCGTATACTCGAGCTGGATGCAATGCTGAAATTGTCCCCAACCGAATTGATGTCCCGTTACGGTGCACTGGACAAAGAGCCGTTTGATTTTCATCACGCTTTATGGACATGTCAAAATATGTTCTCCAACAGGTGAGTCGCACTTAAATTCTATCGGTGTGATCGTTTTGGCTTCACATTTTTGATACTTCTAATCGGCTTCCTGTTATTCACTTACAGCACCAAATCGATGGGATATCGCCATATCTTTTTGTTTACTGATGATCCAGATCCGGTGAACGGAAGGCTACACGCCAAAGTAAGTTGTGACGACCTACCGTCTTTAACCGCATCAGTGTGGTTTAATCATGCTACGATTTTACCCACTACTTACCTCTGTTTTCAAATCACTGGGCAGGTTACCTCTCAGCAAGACACGTGTGCCTTCTCAAAAACCTAACCATCTTTTGAAACTGTGGAATATCAGCCTGTATTAAAGCGAATCGACCTTACTTAGATGGGGAACCTGGTCCCGCCGGAAAGACATAGATCCGTGAAAGGGAGGGTGTATAACGCTGCGATAAGGCCGGTCTTACTGTATGTGTCAGAGACCTGGCCACTTCGCGGCGAAGACATTAAACGATTGACCGTGATTGATCACCGGTGCTTGCAGAGTATTGCTCACGTCTGGTGGGAACACCGGGTGAGCAATGCTGGAGTCCGCCAGTTAGCTTTTGGTAAGAAACCTGATGCCTCACTTGAGTGTTTGCTGAATCTTAATCGCTTGTTTTGGCTAGGCTATGTTCTCCGTATGCCCGTTGACCGCCTTCCTCGCCGTGAATCATGCGCTGTGGCTGCACCAGATTGGGCGAAAACACGAGGTCGTCAGCCCACCACGGATCATAGGGGCATGACGAAGTTGACTGACGGACTTTGTCAGGCTGGTGTATGCCGTTTTCGTGGATGTGGGCCTCGGGTTGGTCGGAGACCGTATCAGACAGGGCGTAGTCACTTAGTCGGTGGCATTCCTGAATTCGGTTTCTTGCACTCATCAATCTTCATTCCACGACCAGTTTAACACGCTTACTTTTCCTTCTATTTCCTTCCGTACTATTTGCACTCAGCCTCCTTTTCTTACTGTCTTTGCTTATTTTTGTTCCGATCACGTGAGTCGTGGCAACTGGATCCACCGTACTTCTTTACCCTATCATAGTTCTTTAGCTGAACTGAGCCGAACTGAAGTAGATTCTTGCTCGTGTGCTACGCATTATTTGTCTACATGAGCCCGTGAATGTGTGCCATTGGCATGGTTAGTAGGTTTAGCACGTCCGAGCGTTACCTTGTAGCGATCCGTAAGAAGATCGTCGTACCGCGGTTAGGCGGCCATTGATGTTTCCTATTCTCTCTTTATCCTCCCTCGGCGCCTACAGCCATCACTCGTGCCTGTTTTAACCATCTACTCTGCTAAGGCTCGATTCCCACGGCAGCTATGACAACAAGATTCAGCTCGCGACAAGGAGTTAGCCAATCGCACGGTACATTCCGTGTGGTCTCACCAGGTGGTTGTGATAACATCCAACTGCCTACGAGGTATTTTGTTTTCAATGCACCACTCCCTGGTCTGTTTCGACTTATACACAGAAGCCTCGACCGAACACATGTCACAGTAGGTTTCGCTCTCTTTGTTTCGGCGGCGGCGGCGGCGCTTATTGTTACGTACGAGCTGCGAGCGAAGTTTCATCATCATCATCATCATCATCATCATCATCATCATCATCATCATCATCATCATCATCATCATCATCATCATCATCATCATCATCATCATCATCCATCATCATCAATCCATCATCATCAATCCATCATCATCATCGTCGTCGTCGTCGTCGTCATCATCATCATCATCATCATCGTTGGTCACGACAATGAACACGACTATGCATCAGTGTTTTGTGCAGTCTTCATTGGAGAAGATAACTTTGTTGTTACATTATAGCAAGAGAGGATGAAATTTCCCCCAATTTGCAACCTATACACCTTAAGCATACATTCATAGTAAAGACACATATGCCCTGCCAACAACTTACAATTGCAGGTGTTTTATGATCACGCTTTGCTAAGTCGGCAAACTTTTAGTAACTCCATTGTAGCTTTCGCTTCTCCCAAGTGTCACAATCATTCTTAATCCACAGTGTCATGCACACTGAACGGTTAATCCGGCTGAGACGACAGCAGACACGCTACTGGTGTTTGTAATGTGATCCATTTATTATAGCATATCTAGCTTTGGATTTTGCGGACTTAAAACTGAGAAGCTCTAGAGACCAAATCGTCCGATCTACACCTCGTTGGCTTCACTTCCGGCTGCTACTGTCCTCGAACCTTCTTGGATAAGTGGACAAAACCTGTCCGTAGACAATTGGTGTATATGCGTTCGCAAAACGCGCTCCGAGCTTTGTAGCTTGCTCAGTCTGCTTTGTTGAGCAAATGAACTAACGCGGTCCGCACGGCCTGGTCGTCTTCTGCGCAGTTGGTCTTTGCGAGATCGCTTTTGCCATCGGACACCAGCAATGCACTACTGACACTGGCGGCTAAGTGACTGGAAAACAATTAGGATAGCCAGGTGTAGGTTGACCCTTGTTGTGAATTTTTCGGAATGAGGAAAATCCTTTTTGGGCGCTAATTTTGTCTTGGATTGGTTTTCCATCAGTAAACAGGTAAAGTTTTGCGGGGCACTACGAGAACTTTCCGTTGTAATAACACCTTACGAGTTTTGGCGATTTCTGACCGCTTGCGGCACTCGTTGTGTGACAATGGATTGCGATGGACAATCTCAATGTTGGTCTGGATCCATTCACACAACGAGCGCTTCAAAGTGACCTCTCCAATCAGTCATTGGTCGTTTTGCCAATCGTTGCCCGCCGCGACTCAGTGGCTTAAGTGTGGAGGCTTCGGCGCACATCCCAAAGATTCCGAGTCCGAGCGGCTGCTGTCTCCACCTGATGAGGTCGAATGAAATCGAAACAAGTCATGGTATGCAGTGTTTTCGGGCGGGCAACACCCAATATCCTGTTGATTCATTAGTTACCATCCCAGTGATCGATAGACCATGGATCCCTTTAATGCCCCTCGTGGTTCACATCACAGTTGTGCTTCGCAATCGATTCACCAAACGAGTGATTCAAAACGACCCCTGAAATCAGTCATTCACTGTTACGCCAAGCGTTTCCAACCGCGACTCACTGGCTTGGGGGTCGATTCTTCAGTTAACATCCCATATGCTCCGATTTAGACTGCCCACTAACTGATGTGATCAAGCGAGTTCGAAACTGGTCGTGGAGTGCCATGTTTTTTATTGGGGGTAACACCCAATATCCACCAGATGAAAGCGGCTCTTTGTAGCTCCTTTACGCGCATCTCCTTCGAATGCGTCAAACGCCTCCTTTCTCTGTTTAAGGTCAAGGCCACAAGAGGGCTGGCACGTCATGTTCGGTTCGCATTAAACAGGCCACGTTTTGTATTTTCACACAAAGCTGCACCATGTATAGTCACCTCTTTATATGGCAAACCATGCCCTCTACCACACCTCATTTAGCATCGTGGACGTCTCTTATGAATCGGCGTATGTTCCAGCATCTAGTTCGCTACGCTACACACAGCGAGCATGTCATTTAATTTATTACTTTACATTCTGATATGGTCCGTTTGTTCGTTCAAACCGTCACTGAGTGATAGAGGTATTGGCATACCGGGAGAGCAGTAAGATGCCACATGTGCGGCGCTTCGATTTTGTCAGTGAGTAAACGTTAATCCGTTAGAAGGTGTGACAAATACGGACAAACTGATGTACTGTAGGCTAATGTATTACAGCGTATATACTTTTGTACACTTGTCTAGTCCATGAGTTTGGTATGCATTCTGACACCGCCCTGAGGGGTTGTTGACTTACGTCAGCGTACCTTGCAAGCGTTATTTGCGAGAATTAACATGATTAGACTTAATAATGTTAGCAAGATCCGGTATAGGAATGTCATTGCGTCGATACAGATGTTCCAATGTACCGGCAATTAATTTGAGGCCCATTTTCTGGGTATCAAGAATTATCTCAAAGTAAGCAAGTAGTCCGGTTGGGCAACCTTAATTGTAAGATCATCATTATGCACGTTAGCTAGAGGTGGGAAATATCTCAGCTACTATGCCGCAATACCTAAAAGAAAAAGGAATAAAGTGCAGCAGGTGCAAGCCAGCTCAGCTACCGGTAACGGATAGGCATGGTTCCGGTAATCTAGCTGCCGGCTACTATGCAGCAAAAAATAATTTACGATACAAAATTATGTAAGACTAAATAGTGAGATCGTGGTTGGAGGGGGAGGATAAGAGGATGGTGTGGGACAAAGAAACTCACAGCGTGAACGCCACTGAGGTCGGCTCCTAGCCAAATCAAGTGTATTCAGCCAAACGTGTTCATCGTCTTTCGAACCCCAACCAGGGAGCTGACACGCTCCAACCGAGGTCAGCTTCGAAGTGAGGTCCTTCATTCCTCTCGACCAAGCCATCGTTTGGCAACCCCTCCGCTTCTTCCATCCACATCCCCGCTGAGCAAACGACGCACATCGCGGGAGTCGGTGGGCTGGCGTGCGTAACACGTGGCCGAGCCATTGGAGCCTGGTGCGTGAAATGACGGTGCTGAGCGGTTCATTTCTTTTTCCTGTGCCGTAAACAAGACGTCAAACACACTCGTTGCTTACTCGGTGTTCTCACCAGATGTGAGCTAAATTGCCAAAGCACTAGTTGTCAGACGTAACTAGCCTCTTCAGGCCCGTTGCTTTAAGGGACCAGGTTTCACAACGGTACAGTCGGATCGAACATACCGCTGCACTGTACCCTCTACCCTTCAGGGCGAGAGTGATGTCGTGCCGGCGCCATAAGTGGCGTAGGTTAACAAAAGCGCCCCGAGCTTTTGCTATACGGTTCGTGATCTCATCTCCAATCCCACGAGCGATGATACAACTTCCCAGGTAGTTGAATTTCTGAACGACTTCCAGCTGATCCCCACCAACGGTCAGTGAAGGAGGCGGTGCAGACCAATCTTGGAGGAACGCTTTGCACTTCGATGGTGCAAAGCAAAGCCCGAAGTGACGGACAGCCAGTGCGAATCTGTCCAGTGCTGCTTGGCACGTCTGGGAGCTGTCACAGATGAGGGGAATATCATCAGCATACTCCAAATCAAGAAGTCGCTCTCCTGGGAGCAGACCCACACCTTGTAAGTGTTGTCCTGTGAACGCGATTTCCATGACTTCATCAATAGCGAAGTTGAAG